GCGGCCGTCACAGACAAGTGACCGGCTGGGCTGTCCGCCATTTCCTTGGAGCTGCGTGAGTCGGCTCGGTTGGGGAAAGGAAACCGGAAAGCGGGCGGCGAGGTTTGGCCTGCGGTGCTGTGAGCCTGAAGGAGCTGTAAGTAGCCCCTCGGGGGCGAGCGTGAGGGGGCCCGCTGTCCGCGGTGCTGAAGGGAAGCCCGCCCTGCCTGCTGGCGCGAGCGGGCCGCGCTCGGGCCGGTAACTGACCGCCCGGGCTTAATTTCCGAAAACCGAGGAAAGACTCCTCCCAGAAAGGAATCTCCTTCCTGTCTTTTTCCTCCCTTAGGTCAGGCGCCTCCAGCTTTTGCGCGGCCCCCAGAGCGCTTCACTAGACCTCTGTCCTTGTTGGTCCGGGCGCTTTAACCACGGTGAGCTCGCTCCTGCTGGAAACTCACGAACCCGGGTTGTCCTCAACTCCTCAGAAGAGAGGGCTGCGTAGCCAGGGTAAGGTGGAGGTACTTAATGGTGCTTCCCCGCGCAGTCACACATGAAAAATACTTTTCTGTTTGGAAGAGAGATGGTAGAACTGGGCAGTCTTCCAATAGAAGAAAGACCATGAGTTTCCAGTTGGTTCTCATACTTGTTTGCCTTTCTGTCTGTGTGTGTGTGCACACGCAGAAGAGATGGTGTTCCTGTGTTGAATTTTACAGAGTGGATTTTTTGCTGTCTGTTGATACAATAAAATGTTCACTAGTCTTAGTACCAGCTGCTTGTTTGTTTTTAGTTCCGATTAAGGTTAGTTTCTGGAGAAGAAAAAAGCGGGGGGGGGATGTGAAATATGTTGAGTTTACCTGATCGTGGTGTTCTTGGATGAATATGCCATAGTCAGAACCAGAGATCCTAATAAAAAATGTCTTTAAATGTAGTCTTTGATTTTATGCATTATTACGTTTTAGGGTTTATTTTCGCTTCTCAGAAAACCATTGGAGTGAAGTACTAAAGGATCGGATACTGCAAAGTTGAGCATGTGGTGCATGTAACTTCAAATATTTTATTATTTACCAGAAAGTTTATAACAGCTTTGATTGAAGATGTTCTCCTTGTTCACTCAAGAAATTTGATGTAGTCTTTGATTTTATGCATTATTACGTTTTAGGGTTTATTTTCGCTTCTCAGAAAACCATTGGAGTGAAGTACTAAAGGATCGGATACTGCAAAGTTGAGCATGTGGTGCATGTAACTTCAAATATTTTATTATTTACCAGAAAGTTTATAACAGCTTTGATTGAAGATGTTCTCCTTGTTCACTCAAGAAATTTGCCTTTCTAAAAGACATGAAGAAATGTAAGTTTTTTGTTTTTTCGGTTGGTTTTTTCTTTTTGGTACTGGGGATTGAACTCGGGTCCTTGCGCTTGCAAGGCAGGCCACCGAACTGCTGAGCTAAATTCCCGGCCCGAAATGTAAATTTTTAAAAAGGATAATCCTAACAGAGAGGATGTACTGGTTTCACTGCTGAAATGTTTGCACTGAGAAGATAAAAAATTGAAAGTGTGTCATTTTAATTTTCTGATGCTTGCTATTTTCATAGAGGGAATTTAAGTGTCTCTTAAGAATAACCATATTAAAGGTATAAATATGTTCTTACCTTACATCTTGCTACTAATTGCTAGATAAATTTCCCTTTGCTCTCACACTTTTGGGTGTCCTCCCCCCACCCATTGGTATTTCGTGGACTTCTGTAAACCTCTTATCTATTGCTAGCATTGTGTTCATGGGTATGTGACCTACACAGTCACAGGCTCCCAAACTTGGTTTAAAGCTCCAATGTTACAGTCTTCAATCATTTTGTCCCAGGTCCCTGAAAATTGTGTAGCCAGTCATGTTCCTACACTTAATATCAGTCTTCTTCCTCCTCTGTCTAAGTTTTCTTTTTTTTTTCTTCTATAATTAACAGACCCTCTTCCTTGGTCTTCTGAAATATTTTTCCTTACAAAAAAAACATGACCAGTCTGTACCTGTAGTACAGTTGTATATGTAAGGCAATATGAGACAGTGTTCTTTCAGAACATTCACAAATATTGGGGAAGGTGTTAAATTTACACATAACATTGGTATATTTTTCATCGTTTGACAGGTTTTCTTATTCATCTTTCAAAAGAATCCATAAACTTGTAAAACAAGCATTTGACCTGCAATCCACTTTTGAAGTGTATTATATATCCTAAAGTAGTTTGAAATTTACTTATAACTTTTTGCATCTCTCTTCAGTAAATGTTTTACCTTCTTGTGAGCATGTACAGTATATATACACATTGCCTCTCACTCATATATCAAACCATCATCTTTCTCTTGGAAAAAGAGGAAAAAATATTTTTATTGCTTCTTCAAACATATGGAAGTTTAGCACAATTCTAAATGTGTAACATGAGATTCAGGGGTACTGAAGTGTTAAGCAGAAGGTTTCATATAGCAAGTTATATCAATGTATGTGTGTGGGGAGGTATATATAACTATGTGTACAAGGAGATATGTATTACAGTTTGCATTTTCACCAAAAATTAAAACGTATCTTCAACATTTTAAAATAATTTCCAAAGACCATAGAGGCTAAAAAACAGAAGCATGCACTTATGGCACATATAAAGAATGTTAATGAAAATGAATAAATTTTACCTAGATTAACTTGATAGTGATGGCAAACCTTTTAAAGACGAGTGCCCAACCTGCAACCCAAAACCCACTTAATTTATCACAAAGTGCCATCACTGCAATTAAGCCTGAAAACTGAAGTTTCAATTTAGAAAAAAAATTCATACATTAACATCTTTTGTCTTAAAAGCACAATAACTCAAGTGCCATAGGTTTGCCACCACTGACTTAAGACTTATTGAACTAAGTTTTTCATTGTCTTATTACCAGACACAGTAATTAACTTTTAAAACAGGTTAGAGTCAAAGTGAGAAGCAATAAAGGAATAAATTTTGTATATTGGTCAGGCAATACAATGTTTGCTTTTAACATTTTTCCACTTTTTCCACTTTAATCTCCACTCTTTTCTAGAGTATCACAAAGATTACTGTTACTTCACCAAATGGAGAATAAATTTGGAGATCAAAACACAGACAAGGCATCTCAGCTGCAAGCAGCTAAGACTGCATTCCAAAGGAATCTTAGTCTTTTAAAGGTAAGTTTTCATGGCTTATGTATTGAAATTTTTCCCTTTTTTCTGAACATGCATTACCTAAATTTTATAATTTTGATTTATATAGTGTGGCATAATAAGTAGAATTAATGAGACAGTATCTTTTTTGTTTTGTTTTGTTTTTGGTACTGGAGGTTGAACCCAGGACCTTCACACAGAGCTACATCCCTAGCACTTTATTTGTATATTTTTTGAGACAGAGTCTTACTGAATTACTAAGTTTGCAGGCTAGCCTTGAACTCATAATCCTCCTGTTTTAGCCTCTCAGAATGCTAGAATTATTGGCATGCCACCACCACACCAGACAACATCTTATTTTTAAACCTGTATTAATTGGGTAAATAGCAATTACCCATAGTCTCATTTTAAATGAAAAAAATGAAGTCTGCATATGCTAAATATATTCAATCAAGTAGAAAATCAATGACTACAGGAGAAACATTAAGGTTATCTTTGTTCAAGAAGTAAAAGTAGAAAATGTACCTTTCCACTTTCCATCTTTTATTTTAAAGGGATATCCTAAAAGACCTTAATGTGCCTGTAGTATGTTTAGATCCAACTGAGAACTATTAAGCATTGTAAAAACAAGAACAATTTGATTTTTTCTTACTGTAGCCACAGTCAACACACAGAATTCCTGTCTATAATAACAGATTTCCCAGATCCCTTTGGATGGTTATAGAGTAGGTGGTCAAAGTCTATGATTGCGCAGGGCCTCACCATTTGGCCAATGTGCCCATTTGGAGTAAAATCGTATGTGTAACATTTTTGGCTGCTTGCTATACTTTGCTTCTTCCAGAATTGTGTGGCTTCATCCATAATTAAAACCCTAAAGTTTGCTTCCATTCAAGCTTCCAAGAGATCCTATGACTAAAACATTTGGTAGTAAGACTATATTATTTAAGTTATAAAGAAGTGTTTTCAGTTTTTTATTGTTAAATATTTTCATCGATAGGCATGATACAGTTATCTTCCATCCTCACTAGAGGATAAAGGAAGAGGAAAATTCAGTTATCTTCTCAGCTTCTGGCAGTTTGATCCACAGTAATTTAAGTCACAGCCATAGTGCTACCAAAGCATTCTATATTGCCATATGTCTTACTTGCCCAATGGTGTTAGCAATATTTATTTTTAAATGGAAATATATAGGATATTTTGGAATTTGCTGTGAAAAGTTAGAAAAACTAAATTAGAAAGCTTGATTGCTACCTGCCTGCAGCATGTGATGTAGTCACTGGTTTTCAAGTGTTTTTCTTTTAATGAGTATTTGATGAATGTCCAAAGGCAAAAAATGGAGACAACAAACTAAGTATAGTATAAATTAGATTTCTTGATCTGAAGGTATGTACGGGCTTAGATGATGTTAGAAAGCTATAAATTCTCTGATACCAAGAACTCAGACTTAACTGTGGTCAATCACTAAATTACATGGAATAGATTTGGAACTATAAGGAATAAAAGTAAAAAGCTATTTAAGACAACATTCTAAGAGATCTCACAGAAGAAGCTAAGCTTCCACTGTTTCAGTAGGCACAAGGCCAAGTATTTTATTACATTCTTAAAAATAGAACTAAGACTAGAAATATGAATGGCCCTATTAACGTTCATGGGTCTCTGAGCTATTTAGTTTGGAAATTCACAGGAAATGAGGTTGGATATAGGTTGTGAAAAATAAAGAAATTGATACTTACTATGTAGAGATAATACAGTACTGAAAGTAAATAAAAGGAAAATATAAGAAATATATGAGTGAATGTTTAAGAAAGATTCACTTACTATTTAGATGCAGACTGTTTTCAAGAACAGGAATGGTGGTATATACCTGTTAGCCTAGCACTTGGAAGGCTGAGGCAGGAGGATTGATGTGAGTTTGAGGCCACCCTGGACTACATAGTGAGTTTGAGGCCAACCTGAACTACCTAGCAAGAACCTGTCTTAAAGAACCAAGAATGAAGAAACTAGAGTTAAGAGGGGTACCTAAAAAATTGCCATACAAAGACAGTCCCCAGCTTAGGATAATTCACCTTATAACCTTTGACTTTACAAAAGAGTTAGTGTGATCTTTTCTCAGGCTAACAGAAAGTTTTTCGCCACTCACTTGTGATGCTGAGCAGTGGCAGCAAGCACCAGCTCCCAGTCAGCCTACCATTACAACAGAAAACAGCTGTACTCCACAGTGTGTGATGTTGCTAAGCTAGCATGTTAGGTGGGTTAGGTGTACTTATGCATTTTGATTTATAATATTTTCTAATTTTGATGGGTTTATGGAATGTATCCTCATCCTAAGTTGAGCATCTCTATATAAGGAAGATAATAAATCTGTTTTCATAGTTTTGAGAAATTTCAGTTTGATATAGTAATTTCCCTGATTATCAAAGTAATATATTCTTACCATTAAAAATGAAAAGATAAAGATGAAAGATTATACATATTTCTGTGTCACCCATGCAGGAGTGCATTTTTATATATTTCTTTTCAGTCCTTTTATAATTGTTTATTGAGCACCTATTAAATCACAGATATAGTCCTTGTTACTAGAAGTGGTCTCTTCCCTGTCTTTTTTTTTTTAAACATTTTGTGAATGATTATATATACAATTTTCATTCTGCTTTTCCTCATTTTTTAAATTTTGGAAATGTTAGTGGCTCTACTGTGGATATCATTATGGAAGTAAGATAAATAGGACTTGGGCCAGGGATTTAGCTCAGTGGTGCTGTGCCTGCCTGGCAAGCACAGGATCCTGAGTTTGATCCCCAGTACACAAAAAAAAAAAAGATAAATAGAACTTGACTTGAGAGTTTTGAATTAAGTGGGGAGTGCTGGACATTGGACCTAGAGCCTCACATATGCTAAGCATACTCTCTACCACTGAGTTACACTGCTAGCTCTAAGAAAAGACTAAATGGCATATATATATGGCACTAGATTTTAAAGGTTTAAATTTTTTAGCATTAAGGTACTTTATCAAAGATACATAGAAATGGACTTGATTTGGTCCAAAATGCCACCCATTCAGCCTTTCCTTGCTGCCTACCTATTGCTCCAAGAACTGTGAAAAACACTAGTCTGGGCTAATTCTTTAAACATAAGGAAACCACATAGTAACTACTCCCTCAAGAAAAGATTAAGTTATACATAGGATAAACACTTGAGAAATACTGCTCACACTTTATAAAAACATTTCCATTAAAACTTGCAATAAAAGTAAAATAATAGTAACAAAATAAGGATCCATTTTTTTAACCAGCCATTTTTTACTTGTTTAGATCTTCTGAGCTTTAACTTTTTAAAAAGTAGAACACTAGCATTTTATATTATATGATTATATCTTTATACTACCAAATACTGAGTTGAATCTTACGTACACAGCTGGAAAATACAAAAACTCAGATTCACATTAGTAATAAAGTTCTAAGATATTTGGGAAACTCTTAAGGTTTATTTATGATAGTGTAAAGATACTACACTAAAATGTGAGATGTAAAAGAACTTAAAAGGGGATATGTCTTAAACCTATTAATATTAGAGACTTATTTTTCTAAAATCACTTCTCACAAAGTTATATAGATTTTTTTTAATCTCAACAGAATTTTCATGGAAAGTAATAAAATGTCTATATTCATGTGAGAAAATAAACAAGTGAGAATATCAAGTATTTTCTTTTTTAGCAGTACGGAGGATTGAATTCAGGGCCTTTGCCTGAGCTACATTCCCAGACCATTTAATTTTTTGTTTTGGAGAAAGGGTCTTAAGATTCTATGTTGGTCAGGCTGGACACAAACTTGCAATCCTCTTGTTGCAGCCTACCAGAGTGCTAGGATTGTAGACATGCCACCAACATGCCCAACTCAAAGAAATTTTTTTAAAAAGGAATAATGAATAAGTGACTAATCTGATCAAATATTTGACCATATTAATAAATGGTTATGAATATAAGTAGTGAAGAAACCTCATAATGAGACTTCAGTCAAGAAATGTCATAAAAGATAGTAAACTGGCTGGGGAGGTATCTTAGTAATATAGCAATTTCCTAGCATGTGTGAGACCCTAGGTTTGATCCCAGCCCCACCAAAAGAGAAAGAAGAAAAAAAAAGAACACAAGTTGAATTCTTTCCCAATTAGTGTTAAATGCAGTTTATCTACCTTTAAAAAATAAACATAATTGGTATGGATCTGGAGGAGAAAGAATTTTCTTTCTATAAGTATTTCTACAATATAAACAGAGATCTCTCTTCCCTCCTCACCTCCTGGAAAACTTTTACCTAAAAAGGCAATTTTGTGGTAACATCGTCTTATAGGGAAAACAGATAAATACTCCAGGTTGAGCAGAAACAGAGAAATGCTGCCCACTGATGAGTGATGTAGACGCCTTTGTGGCCATTAAACAGAGCCTTCAACAAACTGCCACGCAGGACAGCTAAGTACATAAGTGTTCCACTAACTGCTCTTAACAAAGACAAAAGAAACAGATGAATACATTTAGTATTATATGAAAAATAATGCTTAATGAGGCACATACAATTTATTTCAAATATTTACTATAAAAACTCTCTTCTCACTGAGCCTTCACTGTTCTGTGTGTATTTAAGCATATCTTAACTCAGGCTTACCACAAATCTGAGCTCTCAGTGGCCACAGAAGTGAATGCTTAAGGCAGTGATAGTGAACCTTTTAATTAATGAGTGTCCAAACTTCAACCTAAAACCCACATTATTGGGAAGTGCTGACACTGCAATTAAACCTGAATACTGAAGTTTTTGTTAGAAAAAACAACTTATACCTTAACATCTTTTGTTAAAAACACCACATATGCCATAGGTTCATCACCACTAGCTAGCATATCAACAGTACAGATCTAGAAGCCCCATCAGATTCAGTGTTTTAGGGAAAACAGTTCCATAATGGGTGGAGGCCTCTCCTGGAATATGGACAATCATTGATAATTGCCTAGATATATGTATTATCTAGGTGGCAAAAAGTTATTCTCAAATTGTTTTTATTCCCAATTGGTGATTGATGTATGAAGAGAATCTTCCTTTTATCAGTTACTTGGTTACACTGAAGTACAGTTCTCAAGTTAAAAAGTATGATGAATACCTGATTCTTTCCTTATATGGACTTGTTTTTTTGTTTGTTTGATTGGCTGGCTGGCTTTGTTTTTATTTTTCTTCTATGCTGGGGATGGAATCCAGGGTCTTACACATGCTAGGTAAGTTCTTTGCCACTGAGCTACACTTCTGACCCTATAGCAGTGGTGACGAACCTATGGCATGTGTGTTATTGTGTTTTGGTTTGTTTTTTTTTAAGACAAAAGATGTTAATGTATGAATTGTTTTTTTCTAAACTAAAACCTCAGTATTCATGTTTAATTGCAGTGTTGGCATTTTGTGATAAATAAGTGGGTTTGGGGTTGCAGTTTCGGCACTTGTCTCTAAGGTTCATTATCACTGCCCTATAGTTTTTAAAATAATAGGTTGATTCTCTAGCATCCTCTAAAGATAGACCAGTGAGGTGTTGTTTTATTTTTAATTTATCTTAAATTTGAAATGTTTCAATCTTTTGCAGTTTTTTTTACTTGCATTCAAATTGTCCTATTTTTATCAAATAGAAGCTTCTTCAACTCAGTCCTGAATGTCTTCAACATAATCCTAACAGTCTTTGATAGTTTCCTTTCTGATATGATGAGTTCTTCAAGGCTCACTGGATACATTTGCTGTCCAGACCTAGAATTGGTCATTTATTTCTTTCATTTCTTTGAGCAGAAAATATATTTAGAGCTCTCAATCTGGGCACTTAGGACTATTTATTGCAACTTCTTTTGATTTTTTTTTAAAGATAAAATATGAGTTCCTTTCAGTACTTTAAATTTCATTATAGGATTGCAAGGTTCCTCACTTATAACCATTGATCTTGTGTGTGTAACTTCTATCAAAGATAACCAAAGGATTGCCCAACACCAACATAACCATGTAGTGCAATTCCACCTTATCAATGGGAGATATATTCCAAGACAAGGCCCCAGTGAAGACCAACTGTAGATAATGCCAAATCCTACACAAACCCATGCTAAAGCTTAATTTATAAAATTAGGCACAAATAAGTTTGTTTCAATAACTTATAGTGTAGAACAGTGATAATGTTTTGTAATAAAAACTGAATATGTCTCTCTCTAAAAATATTTTATTGTTCCATACACATACTATGCTGTGAGATGATACAATGCCTGTATAAATGAGATGAAGTAACTGATATATACATTGTGACATAGTAGTAGGTTACAAAATAAGGATTACCTGGACACATGGGATACTGTGACCATTTATAACCCAGACAACAGCTAAATGGCTAATAGACAGGTAGCATATACACTCGATACAGTGAACAAAAGATGAACCATGTCCTAGGCAAGACAGAATGAGATGTCAGAAGATTTTGTCATGCTACTTGAATGGCAAGCAAATTTAGGAATGTGTTTGTTTTTGTCAGGAAAGCTAAGGAATTTACATTTTCATCCTCTTTGTACTGAGTATCAATTTTTTAGTCTAGGGGAGGACATATTTAAAGTAGTTCTTCAAATAACCAGTCCCATGATAAATATGGAACAAAGTACAGTGAGGTACACTCTTGGCATGAATCATAATAATCACTTAAATCCTTACTGATTGAATATAGCTATAAGACAATAGCAATAGCACTGGGAATGAAAAAAATGCTAGAATAGGTATCCTCAAGGCAGAATCTAGAAAGCTTTGAAATTTTCACCGACAGGGAATAAGAACAGTTAAAAGAAAAGGATACAGCATAGGTATCTGGGTGAATAGAATTCCTACCGTGATTCATTCAGTTCATCCAGTAGGAAGATGATGAGCCTGGTTTTAGTAGGTTGAGAGATAAAGGTTAGGAAGAAAGGTTAGCTAGCTATCCCCGTACAATTACAGTTGAAGCTAGGTAAGAGACAAGTTTGAAAGGAGATAAAGTAAAAATATGAAAACAGATGTCACAGATCTTAACAAAGCCCACACTTGAAAAGAAAAATGAGCTAACTAAAGGAAGAACAGGAGAAGGTACTACACAAAACATCTAAGAAGTGACATAACACTGATGCTGAGGAAGTTTTTCAGAGATGTGGTAATCTTGGGGCAAAATGCTATAGAAATAACAGTCAAGTGTCTCACCATCAGCCTGCTTTACCAAGCCACATGTCCCTGCCTGTATCTGCTTCTTTTGTTGGCAAATCTGCTCTTCTATAAGAGATATCTTCAGTATCTTTTTATTTTCTGGTCTTTAAGAGAAACAGGATGTTTTCTTCAGTACTCATGACACCTACATCTGCCACTAACGACTTTGTAACTGTTCTTAGAATATTGAAGGAGTGGTTATTCTCTTTCTGTTGTATTTATGTGATTTCTGAAAGCAAAAATTAATTTTTCCAGGACCTTGTAAAATCTCAATGTAATCACAGAAGAGTTAGTCTTCTGTGTCTGTTGAGGCGTTGGCATCAAATGCTCTTTAGCATGTGTCTTAGCCATAAACTTCTGGTATGGGATAGACATGCTAATAGATCCATTTTTTAATCCCTAAATTGACATGTTCTTTTCCTTCAAATCACCTTCCTCCAGACAGCAGGTGCATTAATGGTTGTGCAACTTTGGGGAGTCCCTTTAGGGAATTTCCTGTTTTTCCCTTTTACATTTCACACCCATTCCTTGCTCCTGCCGCTACCATCTGCTGTCTTTTTTCTCCTGTTCAGCACTGGCTTCTTCACACCCCACTCCCACGCCCTTTTCCATCTCTCTCCGTCTGTCCAACAGCCTCTACTCAGATTGCTCCAATGTGTGTGTGGATCAAGAGAACTTTCTCTTTTCTGTCAATTCACTAAGCTCAGAGGAGAAACAAAATTTACATAGCTTTGGGCCAAGGCCCCTATGAACTTGATAAAACATAATAAATGGGCAAAAGACAACATAGGTACTGATTTGGGAACATTTCTTAAACGAGACTGAAATGTTTTTGTAAAAATTTACAGAATCCTACATTTCTGGGCATGTGTCATGCATGTATCAAGTTAAAAATTATACCTTAAGTTTACAATGTTTTTACAACCATAAGAGAAAATAGATGCATCTGCAAGTAAAACTACAAATTAAAACATGGTGATTGAATAGCGCACCAGCTGAAGGATTACCTAGCAATAAAACTTACCATTGAAAATAACTTAGAAATTTAGCTCTAAAAATTTAGATCATGTAGTGAAAAGATTCTTGTCATAAAATACTTATAAATAGTATAAAATTGAAAAGTGGAATATTGAACAAATGATTGTGTGTTATCAATATACCATTTGAATCATTTGGAGAGACTAGAACTCTTCACTTTTAGAGTGAGCACAGTGTGGGTCTGAACACCTGCATGTTTTTGTATCTGAATACAGTACTTATTTTATCCATCTGGTTGTCGTGACATAATTTTAAAGCTGGTTAATGCTCTAAGCATTTTTAAATGAGGTTCTTTTTGCAGGAATTTTTGGCATTTGCCAGCAATTCAAAGTGAAGAAGCAAAACATGGAAGAACCAACCCCTTTCTATTTTAAAGTAAGGTACCCACTTTCATGGAAGTGTATTAATTGAACTATTGTCAGTTCTCTTATCTTGGTGTCCTTCCATCATTTCAAACTAAGTATAGAGAAGAGCTCAGGTGAAAGGTTTGGGATACAGATGCTAGTCTTACAGTTATCATTTGTAATCTATAAATACATTTTGATTTTTAAATGCTCATATCTGTTACAGGACATAGAAGCAGCTGAAAAGTCTCTACAGAGTAAGATTCACCCACATCCACCATCTCAGGTGGCTTCTCTTGAGGTGAGACTCTTAAGGAATAAATGTAACTAGACAAACCCTAACCTATTTGTGGTGCACTGTGATTTAAACACTGGTCGTATGCCTGTATTTCCCAAATTTACTTATTCAGTAAAACAAACAAGATGTGTTTGATTTATCTTGCTTTTTTTTTTTCTTTTGTGGTACTGGGGATGGAATCCAGGAGTGCTGAGCTACATCCCCAACCCATTTTTTTTTTTTTTTTAATTTTAGACAGGGTTTCCCCTAAGTTGCCCAGACTGGGCTCAAACTTGTAATTTTCCTACCTCGGCCTTCCAAATACTTAGGATTATTGTGCCCAGCTCTGATTGATCTGTTTATATGTCCACAAGTACCATGTCTTACATGCAGCAGGTAATTAGTATCTTGAAAAAAAAATTATCTAATGATAGTTTTATAACTTGCTGTGTTATTTTCCCCTCATCACACCAACAACAATGTAGTCTAAGTCTTAGGATGACAGCATGCCCAGAGTGGTTTTCCTCTTAGAGCTGTCAGAAGTAGCACTCAGTCCCTTCACAAAATGTAACCTCTTATTTAAATGCATATTATTATACAATATAAGTGTGGCTTTTGTCTGTTTTATTTAGCCAAATTCGAGAACAGATTGGGAAACTGGTTGGCAAAAACAAACCATATTTGGTATATGTGTATGTGAGAGTGGGAATTTACTACATACAAAATAGTTTTTTATATATTTTAATGACCTTTTTCCAAATACAGTTTTACTACCTGCTGTGCATATGAATAGATTCAAAACTAAAGGCTTAGGAATTTCCTCCTCAATTTTGTGCCATCTAGGGTAGTATGAAAAAGCAGTGATTGAAGACAGTTATGCCTTGGCATGTCATCGTCGTTGTTCAGTTCTCTAACACCTTCCTCTGGCAATAGGAGTTAGTCCTACTATGATTAGTAAAAATACTCCCAGCCAGACCTCCAAGGTATTTTTCTTAACTAGTCTTGCATAGCAGGATGACCTTAATTTTAAGTAGGTTAGGTTGTCTCTCACACCGCATGCATAGATGTGTAGACATTTAGAATCCTTTACCATTTCAACTGTCAGATTGCTGTACCTTTTTAATTCCCAGGGAATAATTATATGTTCTTTTTTTTGGTACCATGGATTGAACTCTAGTCCTTGTGCTCCTGAGGCGGGCAGCAGAACAACTGAGCTAAATCCCCAACCTACATGTTCTTAATGCTACCCAACTCATTGGCTGAATTTCCCAAATGAGACTGATGGTATTGAGCCAGTATAAAATGCTTTCCTGTGACAGAAGAACTTTGGCAGTATAGTTCTCTTTGGCTGCCTTAGGATAGTCACCCAAGAAATCAAAGCTCCCACCCATGGCATGATGATACTGCATGAACTTTTATACCTTACAGACCACTAGAGTCAGATCAATAGGAATACAGCACCTTACATCCCAAGGTATCTGTACTAAAAATGTTTATATTATGCTGATATTTTCTCATCACACAAAGATATTTGAGAAAAATGAGTTTGTCCAAATTTCGTTTTTTTTTGTTTGTTTTTGAGACAGGGTCTCACTATGTATATCAGGCTGTCTTTAAACTTACTGTGTAGCCCCGGCTGGCCTTAAACTGATGGCAGTCCTCCTTCCCCAGCCTCCCAAGTGCTAGGGTTACAGGTGTGCACCACCACACCTGGCCTTTCAAGTATTCTTTTAAAAAATACAGTGAATATATATTTTGCACATTCCTGAGGGTCCTATACTATAACATACTGGTTAGATTTTCCTTCCTAATCTCACCCCACATCAAATCACTATGTGTTAATTCTGAGGAATTCATGTCTAATCATTGTATTGTAATAATTTCAATGTAGGTAACCATTTGGTGTAGGGGATCTGGGACATAGATATTTAATGTGTGGTAATCATAAATGATACCACTGACAATAATCACAAAATTGGCCACAAGAGGGCGTGTAAAGTCACAATAAAATTCTAAAACCTGTAATTCTGCCAGGCTCTGGTTTTACTGAGAAATTGAGAATTAACACTAGTAAGTAGCCAGATTTTTTTTTCTAAAATTAACATAAAATATTCTGTAGAGAAAATGCATTCTACATATATGTGTGTGTGTGTATGTGTGTATACACGCACACACACTTAAGTGAATAAACATTTAGACTATTATGAAGAGCCAAGTTCAATTGCTTGATACACTTTTTTACTCTTGGATTTTTTTTTTTTTCCAGACTCGTTACTGGGCATCAGTAGAAGAGTATATTCCCAAATGGGAACAGTTTCTCTTAGGACAAGCACCATATCCCATTGGTGTTGAAAATCAAAATGAAGCGGAAAACATCGTTCTAAATGAGGCATAGTAATAACTTCTTCACAGAAACATCCTTAATGAAGCTGAGTATTAAAGAGCTTGTGGGTAATTGCAGGAACTTTAGGAACTGAATATTGTTTCATTACCTCTAAATGACAGTGAAGATAAGAGACTCTACTGAGAAGTTTTTGATCATCCCTACCATTCAGGGTCATGAATCTGCTTCTAGCACATCCATGGGAACTGTTAAAAATTAATATTAAAGTGTTAATAAATTATTGAATCAGTGTGTGTTGTTGTTTAGAATATTTATAGTCATTCTCATCAAAACAAGTTGATTTGGATTTTAAGTTAAGAATCTTTAGCTGGGCTGGGTATTTAGCTCACTGGTTCTGCTGCCTGCCTCACAAGCACAAGGACCCGAGTTCGATCCCTGGTACCAAAAAAAAAAAGAATTTTAGCTATTTTATTGTGTAGATAAGGTACGGGATCTAGGTCATCATGTGCTTTCTATTATAGTTTATTTTAACAAATGAAAAGACAGTGACACTTAGCTGCTTTAGTATACAGTATTAATACTTAGCAGAAGATAGATTCCTAGGATTTTGTGCCTCACAGATAATCAAACCTCTGAAAGTTTAAAGATGCAAAGAGCAGAACTATAAAGCATTCCATAAGTAGCTTGTTTTGGGAAGGCTCACACTTGGTTTTGGAAAAGGAGACCTGTTAGAGCTAGGGATGGATATTGGACATTAACGTGGCTATTTCAGGATTGCCACCCCTGTCTTTTCTTCTTTAAACTTGCTCTTCACTCTCCCTTGAATTTTCATTATTTCTGGAAAAAAAAAAAAAAAAACAACTCGGCTTTGGGTCAAGCCCTGAACAACTTTTAAGATTCCTCAGTCCACCACTGGGGAAAAACATGATAAGGTAGAGTCAGCTTTTGCTATAAAAGTGCTTCTACACTATATTAAAATGAACTGTTTTAAATTGTAAACTGATTCGTGTTTTTAAAAGAAGACAATAGGCCAAGCTAAAAATAATATATTACTACCACAAATAAAACTATCTCGAAACAAAAACTATCCATCATAGTGGTAAGTTGCTTTGAACTACCATCTTATCCTGTTGAGTGGGTGTCAGTGTGGGTAACAATAGCCTTGTTTTCATAAATGTGCTGGCAGATTAGCATGCTTCTCTACAGTGTTAACAGTTGCAATTAAGCAATAAACAGCACAGGGTGTCAGTCCGATGACAATTTCATCCATAGTGTCAATACAAAATAACACAAAATATTAGAACTGTTATATAACTATAAAAAGTATCAGCTTAAAAACTGAAAGCCTTTTTTAAAAAGACCAAAAGGAAGAAATAAGGAAACTGGTATAGCAGCCAGAATAATTTTATACCTTCTCAAGAATGTTCTGTCGTGAAAATAAATTGATAATTTTTTCCTGTTACATTACAGTTTGGTTTCTAGCCATCCAGTTGACTTAGCAGGAGAATGCAGGCTTTTTTAGCAGCTTTAAATTGGTAAACAGATTTAGATGTAGTAGAAAGGAACATGAGGAAATTGTTGTGTTTTTTTTTTTAACATCCAATCTTTCCCAGCATATGTACATACGAAGGTGAATGAAGTAATGTGAAACTTAATTCTCTTCAGTCAAGTAAAAAAAAAAAGGCTAAACATTTGTTAGCTGGTAAAATATTGTGTCAAGCAAGTAGGCACATTCCAAAATTACACAGTGGTTGATATGTTAACGTCCTCAAATATTTGAGCATACACTTCCTTTCAGATCTGTAAATTAAATCACCAGTAGGTTAGATTAAAATACAAAATGAATGGCAATTTAACCATCAGAAAGGTTTGGAGTTTTTCTTGGTTTTGTTTGTTTTTTTTCATTTACGTGTAAGTCTAATATACCCTGAGTTACAATTTAAAGCAAAAGTGAAGGTATTTTCAGGCTTCAGCTGTACCATCTTTCCCATTTTAGTTAATATTTAAAAACCTCCTGGAAATTACTTTATTCCTGGGCCCACCAGAGCTCCTCTACCCCACCGTGCCTTGTAGAGTTTTTCTTGGTTTTGTTTGTTTTTTTTCATTTACGTGTAAGTCTAATATACCCTGAGTTACAATTTAAAGCAAAAGTGAAGGTATTTTCAGGCTTGCGCTGTACCATCTTTCCCATTTTAGTTAATATTTAAAAACCTCCTGGAAATTACTTTATTCCTGGGCCCACCAGAGCTCCTCTACCCCACCGTGCCTTGTAGACTAGCCGATTGCAACACATGGTGTCTTTAAAAAAAAAAAAAAAAAAATCCCATAGGGACCCGGATAGCCCAATTAAAGGGCTTTATATTCCTCATGGCAAATTAACTTTACATGAATTTCTAAACATCAGTTCCTGGGAGGAATAACATATATAAAGTATATTTTTTTCCTACCATTAGTAGAAATCAGACAAGAAAGAAGAAGGAAATACCATGTATTCATACCTTCTGTTCTAAATTTGTATAACAACTATAATAAATACACTGGACCCGCTTGATATTGGCAACCAAGACTATGAATTTGTTCTTTAGAATAATAGAGTTTTCAAAATAAAAGTCAGAGATTTTTTTTTTCCAAATTCTTGGATTGTTTTGACTGCATAAATATTCAAAGCTCATTTCTTCTGGAACTCTTCTGGTCTATGAAATTATTAAACTATAAAGTGCTCAAGATCAGAAGGCACTGCCATTTTCTTCAAAACTTTAAATTTTAAGTATAAGGAGAATCCTAATATTCTGGAAACTAGACACATCTGGTCCTTTTTTTTTTTTTTCTTTTTCTTTCTTTCTTTTTTCTTGGTACCGGGGATCAAACTTGGGTCCTTGCTCATGTAAGGCAGGCAGTGGTACCACTGAACTCAACTGCTGGCCCTTGTCTGGTCTCTCTTAAAGGGAGCTGTGTGAGTGCAAGTCAAACAGTCAGTTTTTCTCTGCATTAAGTGTTTACCTTGTTTGCTTAGGGTCAGATGAGGATGAGCTGTCACTTCCCCCTTTACAATTTTGATATTTTTGCATCTTTCTCCTTTTTCCATTCAAAAAGTGATAAAGGGACTATGTGGACATATTTATGGTTGAATATAAATTAAAAATTTAGAGATTATTTTGTTACTTTTCACATAATTGCAGATGTGTGAATGAGTGTGAGGCAGAGAGAAAGAGGAGCAGGTTTTGACAGCAAAGAATTTAACACCAATGAACTACATTTGAGTGCATAAAATTTAATGCAAAAGGCCTATGAATTTGGCTCTCTACAAAATATATTTTCCACTTAATAATTTGTCTTTTTATCCTAAGCTAATTCACAACCTTCTATGTTGTTTATTTTTTTAAGACGTGTCTTACTGAAAAATGAAATAAAATTTTTAATCTTATAGAATTCTCCTTTTCAAGAATTGCTCCACATAGTTGTGGTATGTTTTAGAACATTCTTCACCCTTCGTCTGCTTTTAACCTCTTCCACTTTAATTAGGGTACTAAGATCTCTTTTTTTAGAGTTACAAACCAAATCTATACTTGGGTAACAATCAGGATGGTTACCCACAGGAGAGTCTAGAGTAGATACAGGTGAAAAGGAAGTGGAAAGAGATTACTGGAGAAACTTCAGGTTGGAACAAGGGACTACATGCACACACACACACGTTTTTGTTTCTCATAATTTAGAAGTTAATATGTCTACATAGAAAATTTAATTCCCCATTGCTAATAAAAGAGTATTTAGAGTTTTCTGAGACAAACATGGGGACATGTCAAACTTCAGCAGTTAAGGAGAGGATTGATTCATGGATTTGACACCTGGTATTGTGCTTGCCCTTCTAACTGGAACTGAGATTATATCCTCACTAAAATCCAAGAAAAGGAAAAGGAATCCAACAAAGCGAGAGGCTAAGAATGCTTCCGGACATCATCTTACTGTGCAGAGTCAAGTTTCCCTGCTTCCTCCCAAGTTACATCAATGCTTTAAAGTTCTTGTGATTCTAAAAACTCAAAATTCATGTCTCAGAGAGAGAGACAGAAATGCTGCAAATACAGGCTGTATGTTACCACACAAAATAGTTGTCTTGAGAGAAAGCCATAATACAACGTGTCCTTATTTTATTTTTTAAAGGCATTTTTTTTAATGTTTTTTGTTTGTTTGTTTTGCAGAACCAGAGATCGAAGTCAGGACCTTGTGCTTGCCAGGCAGGCACTGGTGCCACTGAGCTAAATCTCTGGCCGACATGTACTTATTTTATAATGTGATAGGGCTGGGGATTTAGCTCAGTGTTTCTGCCGCCTGCTCTGCAAGCTCAACATCCCAAGTTCAATCTCTGGTACCAAAAAAAGAAAAAATCGAATGTGATGATTTCATGTATTTGTCTTTTTGTGATGATTGGTCATTCAACCTCTCAAGTTCAAGTCTTTTTTTATTATCCCTCCCTAATGTTAGGTTTCAGTGTAGTTTTTGTTTTACACAATACCACGTCAGTGATAATAGAGTCAAAGGAAAGAAAATTCTGTTTATATATTTTTGCCTAATACAATTCTATTTTCTTTCATCTCCCAAAACTAAATAATGACACAATATAGCAGGTTGAACCCAGAACCTTTGCACTAAGCTACACCCCACCCATCCCTTTTTTGTTTTGTTTTTTTATTATTTTTTAGAGAAGGTCTCACTAAGTTAATAAGTTGCTCAGGCTGGGCTTGAGATGTTCAAAAAAAAAGCCATGTGTAAAGTCCTTTTAAATGCTACCCAGTAAACATAAGGTGGATAACATTTAAATATCATGTATTGGTCCAGTCTTTCAACAAATCTCGTTGACTCCTTACTGTGTAGCAGGCACAGTCCTAAGTACCAAGAATACAAGGAATAAAACAAAATATAAATTCACATCCTCATGGAATTTATGTTCTGGCAGAGGCAGTAGATGGAAGGGATTAAGTAAAGATGATAACAACAAAAATATGTAGTATATTAGATGGTGAGAAAGAGTAATATAATATAAACATCCAAAATATCAATGCAATAAAACAAAAGACTTTATCGTCGCTCAGTGTTATGACTATAACAGTCTTTTTTTCCTATTCAATTATCTGGAGTTGAAGTTTCTCAGTGAAGCAAAATTTCCACAGCTACTAGCTTGGAAGTTTTATAATGAATAAGTTTATGATAAAGAATGTAAAATAAAGCTTTACTATTCTGCCACCTACTACAACTTGGACAAAGCCTAGAGACATAAAAACTAAGAGAAAGAGA